GAAGAGAGAGGGAAGGAGAGAGAGAGAGAGAGAGAGAGATAATATGAATGAAATTACAATTACATTTTTGAAGGAAAAAGGAACGATTTTATTATTTATTTGACAATTTCAATTATCTTGTTATTTTTTAAATTAATAATATAATTTTTATGTATATCATCATGTACATTATAAATCTTTTTCTCTCTATTCTCTCTTTTGTTATATTTTTATTTTTAGTTTATATATTCATCTTCCGCTTCTTAAATTGTCTATCGACATTTGTGTGACATATTAAACAGATTTCGCTCATGCCAATAAGTAACAAGTAAATAAAATTTAAAAGAAGCATTTATTCATCGTAATATAATAATATATACTTTGTAAGCTTCCATCATGCTTACACAACAATGTATATATTTTTTTTACATTATAAATTTCTCCTTATACTTGATGCCTCATAGTTCTTATATACAATTCGATAAAATAATTGTTATAGAAATATATAGCCTTTAGTCTTCAAAATAATATTATGAATATATACAATTAAATTTCTTGACTAGTTAATTTAAACTATGATGTGATTGCTGATAACAGAATATACCATTCTCTTAGATTACACATATTCCGTAAGATGTATCAGGACTTATTCTAATTCAATGATCTAATATGCGTAAATTGCCAGATACAATTTTATTCTCTAAAACGGTACCCAGAAGGCAGATCTATGCGTTCTCCATGATTGGCGATTATAATGACGGTACCTTTCAACGTTACGCCTTTCCCAAAGGTAACATCGCCCGACACAGTCAAATGATCCAATTCGAGTAGATCCGGTATTGTCGGAAATCTCGTTAGAAATTCTTTCACCTGTAAGAAAAGAGAACGTTATAGCATTATTATAGCATTATTAAAGATAAAAGTCACATGAATTTTTTTTTAGCAAAAATTAAATGACAGATATTCCTACTGACTTTTGAGAAATGATTGTCCCCAGTTTGATGAGAGGCGTGGTGGGGAACATTCTTTGAGGACTCATAACAAGAGATCCATTACGCAGTGTGTATAAATTACTCATTACAAGCATCAGATCGGAGGTCTTTTTCACCGGCAAGAATCTACTGCGCGGCACATTTATTCCTAAAGTATCAAATTAAATTTTTACTTAAACGTAAATTATTCATGGAATCGATAAAAAACAAAGTTTTAAAAGAAAAAGAGAATAATTTAATTAAATTGTTGTTGTTTCTCTGGACTTACCAATACTTCCTTCAAAAGATTTCATAGCAGCTCCTACAGCTGTTTCGAGCTGTATTATGTTTAGTCCATTGGGAAAAGTTTTGTTGTTTACGATTATCTCCATATTCAATCCTTTCTGATCAAGTACTCTTTCGATGGCTGTTTAAAAACAATAACTTTAATATTTATTCAATATATTGATATCTTAAAGATTTTGTTGACTCATATGTGATCGTCAGATGGAAATGTCGGTAAGAAAATATAAAAATTCTTACAAAAATTTGGAATAGAAATATCGTTTACTAAAACATTTGTTATCAGTAGAATAGATTACAAAACGTTTCTATTTTAATATGCGTTGTAAGAATTTTTATTGCACATTACGACATTATCAGATAACCTTGATGAGTCAGCATGATTTTTAAATATACGTACCACTGAGTTTAATCCAGAGATTATTAGTATTAAAATATTTAAATGTCTTAACAGATTTAAAGTCGTCGATATGATCCTTGGGAACTTGAGCTATTTCAAGAAGACGAAGTTTATCCTCATATTTTATAAGTGTACCACCCTATGAAATATATAATTAAAAGATCTTCTTCAATGTTATTCCAAACAGCGTAGTTCTCGCGGAACATACCTTGACGTCCGCTCGCGTTTTATCAGTTACTTCCATCACAAATTCAAGAGGCGGTTCTGGTCCTTTACTCAGCAACAACTTCAAAATTTTGATATCTACCGTGGCACCAAGATTATCTATATTTGAAATAAAACAATATTCGCGACCCTAAAAAGAATCAAAGTATTTTTTAAGCGAATTATTGTTATTATTTACAAGTAGCGAAAGTAAAACCTCATTACCTCGCGAATAAATTTTTTAAGTAAACCAGAGTTTTGGAAACTTTCATAAAAATCTCCATGGCCGGGTGGATACCAACTATTAAGAAATTACGCATTATTTCTTGGGATTAAAAAATTAAAAATTTTAATAATAACTTTATGAAGACGATCTTACGCTTCTATATCCTCATCGATTTGACAGTGCTTAGCAATCGGAAGAAGCGAATCTCTGTTTATGCGCGGATAACAGCTCTGATTAAAAGTGTAAATATCTATATCGATTCCTTTGTACTTCCTAATTATACGTTGTGTATCATCATCCGTGTTGAACGAGTTCATCAATATGAGTGGCACGTTAGCGTTATACTTTTTATTCAAGTGCTATCAATGAAAATTATATTATTCATTAATATTATTTACATTATAATTTTCGAAGCCATAACAATGATTATGTACATAAATGGTAAAACTAAACTATTGAAACTCTTTTGCGATACCTCGATTTGCTGAACGGTAAGATCCAAGAACGTAAGTCCGTTTCGCACAGCGATGACGGATTTCGGTCCATGGCATCCCATGCTCGTTCCGAGACCACCATTTAATTTAACCACAACTAATTTGTCTAGCAGTTCCTTTATCTCGTGCCCCTCTGGTGATGGCAGAGAATTGTAATCTTTGACCTGCGAGGAGAGTATAATTTAATTACAATTTAATTGAAATAGAGTAGTAGCAAAATATATTGAGTCTCTAATTTTTTCTACAAATCTTCTTACATCTTCTCGCACAATAATTTCGATACAATGTAACTCACTAATCGTCAACACAGAATTCGTTTATTAAAACGGACTAGCTGAAGGATGAAAGATGAAAATGGAAATCGTTGTAGCAGTTATATTTGTATGATTGCTCACCGCGTCCTCGGGCAGTTTTTGAATATGGTCCCATTCCAAGGACGGACCCTCCTCTTGCAGGAATCGCTCGAACAGGTGCTTGAACCCGACAAACTGTCGGCTGATCATCTCCTTCCTGTTCTCCCGGGCGGTCGCCTCCAACTTCTCGAGCTCCCGCTGCAGCTCATCCCGCGCATCTCTCTTCGTACGCTCGCGGAACGCCTGTGTATCTGAAGAGCTGCGTTGATGACCACGTGCCTGTGGAGTTTCCTCTAAGATATAGTGAAAGAAATCGAGACATTTTTTACCTATTCTCCTCGCGAAGTCTTCTCCGTCCGAGCCGTTAAGCCACTCGCCGCGACCCGACGACGAAAGATCACGCATGACGATTTTTCCAAGATCGCGGCCGTAAAATCCGATAGAAAAAAAAAAATATGAAAAGAAAAAAAAAAGGAAAAATAAATAAATAATGTATACGCGTACGATGGATCCTGGGGGCGTCCGACCGTCGTCTCTCAAAAGGTTCCGATTAAAATCTTCTTCGGATAGCTTCAAAAGTTCCTGCTAAAAATCTCCGAGGGGGCAAAACTCCTATGTAAAAATCGCAATCGCGCAAAAATCGGTTACGTCCGCAATCGACCGCGTCACCGCGTCACGAAGAGGTCAGCGCTCCTTTTCTTTTTTTTCTTCCTTCTTTTTTTTCTTTCTCTCTTTTTTTTTAACGCACGATGAGTCGTGAATCCGTCATCCCGGAAGAGCGCGAGACCGATCGCGTCGTCGTCGTTCTGAAACGACCCCTCCGACTCCTGGGACGTCTTTTAAAAGACGAGTAACAAAACGAAAGGAGGAGGGGGACTGTCTCATTGTTATGCAATGGCTGTTCATATTCCGATAAGAAAAATAAAAAGAAACGACGAAATAAATTAACGCCGGGATGAATCGAGCGTTAATACAAGTCCAGAGGTAAGAATTATCATGACAAATCGATAGACCGCGTGCGACTAAATCCGCAGTCTTATCCGCGTGAGATGAAGACGAAAGAAAGAAGAAAAAAAATTCTTCTTTCTCCAGCTTTCCGACTAAGCTTACGTTACCTGCGTCGCCGACTGGGGTAAACCGATATCTCTCTAAGCAAGGTAACCGATAGCCTGCAAGACCCTGACCCAGTGTCGCGATCGCGTTGATCTCGCTTACAAAGCGATAATCCCAATTCGATCATATTTGGCCCGTCGGGAAATCCGTCCGATTTATTCGCGAAGAATAGAAAAGGAAAAAAAATTTAAAAAAAAAAAAAAAATAACAACGCAGAACGAATGACACTTTGTCGAAACGCTTCACCTCGATCCGGTCTACAGATAATATGCTTATAGTTAGATTAGGATCAGCTGTTTTCCTCTTTTTCTTTCTTCCTTCTTGTTTCTTTTTATGGACGAGAAACGGCGCAACGAAGAACGTAAGCGCGGGATGGATAATACAATCGTCCACTTGAATATTTAACTTTCAAATACGCGCGGCCGATAATAATTCGGCACAACTGTCGGATTTGCATCGAAAGTGCCGTCTCTCGCGCGACTCGGCCTGGGGGACGCGAAAGAGAATTTCCTGACTGATTACGCGAAAACACGTGGTAATTAATCTCAAGGTTCCCGCGAAGAAACGGGACACTCCTCTTTTGCAAACGCGCGATAAGCGAATGATAAAATCTGCTTCGCGTACGTTAAACGCCGAAGAATCGCTGAATCTATGGCAATAAAATAACAACCAAATGCTCGAATAACGCTGGCCTTCGTTGACCCTCTTACTCGTGATAAGATAATTTCAAGGAACGGAGTCCATACCGCATGAATTTTATCTTCTCGCTTGAAATAACAGTTGTTAACTCGTTTACTCGCGATATCAGCATTAGGAAATATGGAATCGTGAGAAGAGGATTTGGCGCCAGTACGATGATGATGAAAATAATAATCGTAACGCAAACATGATTCAAGTTGTATTTATGCCAACAGGTGTCTTTGAAATGTAATTAATACATCCGACGTTTCGATCTCACGGAAAAAAAGGTTTTGCTGAGGCCTAAACAAAGGCCTGATCAAATACATAATCTGAAAATAATTCAAATTTTTATGTAATGAACGATAATACAATTTTTAATGTTCTAGCAAAAATTTGAATGTCCTAAAAAATCGCTCTTTTCGTAGGTTTGCGTAGGATCTTTTTTTTTTTAAATGGCATAGATAACATAAATTGAACGTAATAATTACCGTTCTCGAGTATGAGTACCGTCACGACTCGCTTATCTTATATCTTACATCATCTTACATTAAAGATATTTATCGCAAATAACGTATTTAAAATAACACATCAACAATTCAATGATACATCTATAAGTTGACAGTCGTTTCAAATACTGAATATTTCGCAAAGCGTGCGATATCGTCGAGTGACGAAGATGAGTGATGAAAAAACTTGATGGAACTTTGTCATTCCTTATATAAACTCCGTAATTCCGTTGTGAGCCCTGACGAAGGAAAAAGAAAAGTCTCCTAAGGTCGACCGTAGGTCACCCGGCATTTTCCGAATGGAGCACAATGTCATTTACGTAAGTCAATTCTACGCGACCATTGCGCGTAGTAAAATCGTCGGGAAGTAAATAATCGAAGTAAATAATCGAAAGTAGCGAAGCTAATGAGACGAATTTGCATTACGAGCCTCGACTCCTGGCGACCTTCCCGTCGCGATTCTACGTTCCTCGAATGGGAAACCTTCTCCCTCCCGAGATGATACGATTTCGAGGTCCGGGGGAACAATCGTCGTTTTCAAGAATTCATAGAAGGGTAAACGAGTCGACGCGGATCTTTCATCTCGATACGGGCTCGACGAGGGTTAAACGATCAACGAGACCCAGCGTGATGCCGCGCACTCGAGTCGGGTTCGCAGCTATTATCAGCTTACATAACGACAGATTAACGCGCATACGTCACGTAAAGTGTCTTACATAAATTTTCGCTGCTCGTGCCGAAGGGAGGTCCTCCTCGATTCTCTCATGGACGGCTAGGAAAATCGTGACAAGGATGGGTAACGATTTCATGTCACAGATATCTAAAGATAGACCATTATTTCACATACACGTGCACGCACGCATACGCGCACCACACACACACACACACACACACACACACACACACACACACACACACACACACACACACACACACACACACACACACGACACACGACGACACG